AGGGGTAGGGTGCCAGTGCCAGTGGTGACACGGCAGGGGTAGGGTGCCAGTGGTGACACGGCAGGGGTAGGGTGCCAGTGGTGACACGGCAGGGGTAGGGTGCCAGTGCCAGTGGTGAAATGGCAGGGGTAGGGTGCCAGTGCCAGTGGTGAAACGGCAGGGGTAGGGTGCCAGTGCCAGTGGTGACACGGCAGGGGTAGGGTGCCAGTGCCAGTGGTGACACGGCAGGGGTAGGGTGCCAGTGCCAGTGGTGACACGGCAGGGGTAGGGTGCCAGTGGTGAAATGCCAAGGGTAGGGTGCCAGTGCCAGTAGTGAAATGGCAGGGGTAGGGTGCCAGTGCCAGTGGTGACACGGCAGGGGTAGGGTGCCAGTGGTGACACGGCAGGGGTAGGGTGCCAGTGGTGAACAGAAGGATGAGGAAGAAGAGCAGCTGAGGAGGTGTTTCAGATGAATAATCAAAGACCGATTTCAAATAAATAGCAAGTAGTTTATATGGAAATATCAGACCGTAAAAAACGACAAAGTGCCGTGGGTTCTATACTAAGTGCCATTCAAGTGGTCCTCAAAGTATCCAGAGCCTTCAAACTTCTGGAAGCATGGCCCCGAATGCAGCGAACTAGAGCCCATCATCCAAGCTGGGGGCCAAAGCCACATAGGGACCCACCCGGCCCCCCAAGGACCACCCTCCGGCCCCGGCGGGTCCCCGCTGCCTGCCTACAGCTTAGAGAAGAAGGGCAGCCCATCATACATGTCCCCCTTCAGCTTCACCCACTCGGCCAGCCTCTGGATGGCGCTCTTCTCCTGCGTCAGGATGCTGGCCGCCTTCCTCAGCTTGTCCTCGTTGCGTTCCAGGTAGCGCAGGCCCTCGTTCTGCAGCCAGTCCAGCTTCTCCTGGCGGCTCTCGTCTAGCGGCACGTCCTCAGTCATGAATGGGTTGAAGCGGAAGTAAGTGTCGGGAGGCAGGAGGGCATCCAGCATGGTGTGTACCTCTGAGGGGGGAGGGCAGACAAGCGACAAGGGTCAAGGATGCGATTAAGGAGAGCCTGACAATGCAGGCCTGGCTGCCCCACATGGCCCACCAATGTTTACCAGACTCCTATCAGACTGCCTGCTCACGGGTGTTTATCCTGATGAACGTGAGACAAGTGTTTTGATGTTGCTTTGAATATACTTACACATGCGGAAACTGCAGGACCAGGGTGACCTTCAAACCTCGGCCCCCCCAACATCAGGCAGGCAAATACGCAGGAG